GTAAGTAAACCTTTAGGTCACCTCTCAGCAATAATTTCGAATTTTAACTAAATGATAATATCATAAATGTGTGGCACTTTTGCCAACCCCAAGCCTACTGTTGTTACTGTTAATGAATACATTTAGGCCTAATTAAATTGAATAAATTAAATAGATTAAATTAATCCATGTGAGTAGGTCTAATTTTTCTAGAAATGATAGATAAAATTACTTTTTACTCAAAGATTTCTTCTTATAGATTTTAGATTTAAGCGTTTAGCTATTAAAACCAGGGCTTATTTATGTTAACACTTTCCCTTCATATGCCGAGGTCACAGAAACAGGTGAACTCCACTTCACTTCCCCCAAAAACCGCCAGGTTCGAAAATGGAACTTCAAATTCAAATTTGAATGAAGTTCAAATGAAGATAATTAGAAATAAAGAAATACAAAATGCTATTCTAGATTCTAGACAATTGAAAAGGGTTTATAGCCTATACGTGATAGGTTAGGAAAAAAATTGAAATTAACAGGTTAGCAATCTTATAGTTTTCTCGTAATTATTCGTATTTTGTAATTTATTTAAAAACATTTCTATCTATCGAGTAGAAATCATAAACAAACAAACCTAATGAATAACACTTAATAATAGCAAGAAAATAAGCCTTACTCTGGATATAATCTTTTGAGTACTATGATTAAGTTGTGAACAACTGTTTTCTTAAATCAGAACATTATCTTCCATCTTTCTTTGCCGCTAGTCTCCCACCAGATTTTCAATTTGGCGCCCCTATATATATATATATATATATATATATATATATATATATATATATATATATATATATATATATATATATATATATATATATCAGCAAATATCACATATACACACATATACATACATACATACACACACAGATTTAATAATTACGGTGTATGATTTTCGTTCCCTAAAACTTTACTCGACGCCAATTAAATCCCCCCTTAAAATGCGTTGTCCTTTTTAAAAAGATTAGTAGTGTCAGAAAAAAAGAAACCTCATCTGAGATTGGAGGGAAGTTTATAGCAGGCGCTAATTCGTTTAGGCCAGTCTTTTTATGTTGGAATACGACATGGGTATTTCGTTTGACGGGTTGATTGTATAACGAAACAAGCTAGGTGAAATAAACTGGCATCCACGGGTACAACATCTCGAAGGCTTGGATTTCGCAGATGTATGCTGCTTTTTCGCACATAGTCAACAACAAATGCAGAATAAACTCTACTGGTTGAAGAAGCAGTAATAACCGGTTGAATGATAGTGACACCACCCATTACGTTCAGATTAGAATCAGTAGCGATAAAATGCGTTTTAACGTTCTATGCCAGTGAGGAATTCAAATGCATTGTCAAAAAAAAAAGCAATCAGGATCTATAGTTAAATGTGAAGTTTCTTTTACTGTATGGCTCGGAACTAGGTGGTTACAGACAGTGGAGAATGAAATAAGAGCATGGAAAAGTGGTTAGGGCACAATATCAGAAAGACAGTAAATAACATCATTAAGCAGGTGCTGGTGGTCCACTCCTTACCACCATCTTAGACAAAGTTGGTAGAGCGGGTTTTAACGTAACTAACTTTTTAAAAACGTTACACATTCCTACATGCGCTTTAGTACAAGTTTCTTTTCTAAGTGATAGATTATCAACTCATCAATCCAGTGTAAATCCTTGCGATTTTATTTAGCGAAAAAGCTGCCCTCCTCTTCCCCATCTTGATAAAAGTCACTACCTTTCTTTGCGGTTACATAACCGTACTATATACTTTAATACAATTGGTCTCTTTTATAAGGGGTATCGTTTATAGACTCACCAATCTGGTGTAAATTATCCCGATGTTGGTCGCGAAAAAGCGCACCCCTCCCCCATCTAGGAAAAGCTGGAAAGCGGTTTTTGCCAGTCATTGTTTTTTAAGGGTGTTTTACAGTTACACAATCAAGGTAGAAACAGTTAAATCAGCATGTAAAGGCCTGTAGAAATTACATTTCTTAAATTAGACTGTTTATAACTCAAAACTGCAGCAAAAAATCAGCTTAAAAAAAATGTCCACCCCTTTTGGCCCCCATAGGGTTGGCACCCGGGGCGGCCGCCCCCTTCCTCACCCCCCCCCCCCCCCCCCGAGCTACGCCTCTGAAGGCATTGTAGCCATTACATTTCTTAATTTTTGACAGTTTATAATTCACAACTGCAGCATAAAATCAGCTTTTAAATATTTTCCCCACCCATTTGGCGCCCCCCCCAGCTACGTCTCTGCAACTTAATTGTTACCTAGTTCTACCAATCAATATATTTTTTTAAAAAACTTTATTATAAAAAGCTTTTAAAAGCACAAAAAAAAAATAAATAAAAATAAAATAAAACATACGTGTTAATAGTGTTATGTAATAGCCTTCTTCGGTAAAACTTTGTTTTACTTTCTTATTTTCATTTAATTTAAAACTAGGTTTTGTAAAAGTTATTATATATTAATATTAGGCCTATATTAATTATTTTTTAAAAAGTTTGTCGATAATTATATCTGCATCCCCCATTTACTTTACCTTTCTAGATTCTAGAAAATCATTCTACTAGATTACTAGATCTAGATCTAGATCTAGATAATTTAGCCTATTTATTACTATTTAAAGAAGCAGGGGTTTTCAGGTTAAAACTAAAATAAATCGTCTTTCAAATCCTTTTAGATCTAATTATAATCAGGTCTATATTTATTATTGGCCTAGATCTATAGGCATATGCATATTTAAATAAGTTGATTTATTTATTCTTTACCAATTATTACAATTATTACTTTAATCCTAGATTCTCTATATCTATATCAAAATATTGTTTTTCCCATTCGTTTTAGCCAACACTTGATAAATAGGTCACTGTATCTTCGGGGATTCCCCAAACGTATGTTGTTTTTAGAACTAGATTCTCTAGTAACCTAGTAGCCATTTTATTACGATCCCAGTGAACATTCGACGACGGCAGCTCTGGGTTTGTTTTGTTAAACAAAATCACCGTATTAGTAGATCTAACCGTATTACACTTTACATTGAAGTGTGAAAATTTAAATGATTAAGATCTGGTCTAAAACTGGTTGATGTTAATTAATAATAATTAATAGGGCCTATTATATTTAATTTAAACAAATAAAATTTAATATTAATAATATAGTATATAGGCTAGTGAAGTAGATCTACCCCTATTCAATACTACTATTCATCATGACAGTTACCTCTTCCGCACATTACTAGAGTCTACTGCAGTCGAATTGATTACGGAGTATTTATCTATACTATAATCTATAGTAGTTAGTTACGTCTAGATTCTAGATCTAATAGTAATACTAGATCTAGATCTAATCTAGATTCTAGTTATGGTTGCCAGATACCTTTTCCGAAAATACTGGACACCTGTCACCTTTCCATCCTTCCCTTCTCAGGTATGCCGCAAAGCAGAAGGGGGGTAACAGAGTATTATTATTCATATACTTGTCCAGTATTTACATTTATTTTATCCTGGTTAGTGAGTGGACAGTCTGCTCAAATACTGGACTGTCCAGTTCAAAACTGGACACCTGGCAACCCTAGATCTAGTTTAGAGTTTTGGCCTAGATCTATCTATCTATCATTGTAAATCTACCATTTAGATTAGTATTTAATATAGTTAGGCCTATACCTACTCTATGAGTCTATCTATACACTACTCTATACACTCTGGGGTCATCCATATATGACGTCACTTTTTTTGAAGATTTTTACCTCCTCCCCTCCGTCACAAAAAGCCAGACCCCCCCCCCCCCCAGAGGCGTAGCGACCCTTCCCGGCACCCGGGGACAAACTTTCAGTTGATTTGCACCCCCTCAAACTTTCAATTTGCACCCCCCCCCCCTCAAACTGCAAAAATGCAGCTAAATTGACATTTTAATTTAATTTTACAACCCATTTTGGCGCCCCCTAAGGTCGGCGCCTGGGGATATATGTCCCCCCTGCCCCCCATTGCTATGCCTCTGCCCCCCCCCTAAAATGACGTCACACCTTAGCCTACAACCCCCTCAAAAAACATCGATATTTTTCCAAAATCTTGTCTGAACTCTGTCAACATAGAGTATTTTAATCAATTCCTATAACAATTTATTAAAACCGTTTTCTAAAACCCGGAATAACGGCTAAAACTCATTTTCTAACATTGCTTTTTTATAATGCAAAAGTGTGACGTCACACAATCTGAACCCCCCCCCCCCCCCCACATACGAGTGTGACGTCATTTTATACTATTTACTAAGGTAGGCTGTATTAAATGTCGGACCATTAGCTCATACTAGCCTCTGATATTACATAAAACTTGTACTTAAGACAAGGCCTAATTTTAATTGCTATTACTAAACTAGACAAAAGGACTAAAGCTAATGTTCTTATTTCTAAGTTAAACACTAAAAAAAGTTAGCTGTTGGCTACTTCAACTCTGAAATATCTACGCATATTGGAAAATTGGCCTATTTATTCTTTGATGTTGAAGCTTGATTAATAATTTATTAATAGTGATAAATTATAACATAGACGTACATGTTGAATAATTTTTTAATAGTTTGGTTGTTTATACAGATAGAGCTATAGAAATCTTGCAGCAAGCCTCTATTGATGTAATTCAAAATGCAGTCCTACTCTCCAACTCTACAACTTGAACACAACCCGACAATTGAGAATCAACATCTAAGGTCATTTGGTGCAGGCGCCAACAATCAGTTTCTTTCTGCTAGACATAAACAAGCTATAACACCCAAGAAAAATATACTTTTCCATTACGATTTATTGCTGGCCAATCAGTTTGAGTGTAACATTTCATGTCAGTACGACGCCAACTCTAAGGAGGCAATCAAAAATGTGTTAACCCTCATTAGCTCATCCCCTTCTGGAACCACCATTGAAGTAAGGTTTCTCAAACAAGACAACACAGTCTCTTTTGTCAATTATGAAATAAAAAAATTAAAGAAGGTTCATTTTGAGGATATAGAAATCAACATGTGTAGACTATTGGAGGATGAGTCAAACACAGGTATGTCTATTTTAAGAACATAGAAATTATCCTTTAAATTATTGAAAAATTAACTACATGATGATTATATAGTTGATTTAGTTGGAATGTTAAATATCTTGTACCCTTCTTTGTATGCAATCACTAACCTGATAGTCTTTGAGTTTGGTACCAAATCTCAAGATGGGTTCCCAGAAAAGGCATAGTTAGAAATATATTTTATTATGCTATAATGTACATGTGGTCATTCTTTATAAATGTTTATAAATGCTCGATTTTAAGAAAACAAAAATGCCTAGCTCACTTTTTTGTGCGCAGTCATTCGTTGCGCATCTTTCCAGTCCCCTCATCTCTAATAGACAGCTTTCTCAGATGTCGAGAATGTTATATATTTATATATTTGTAAATGCAGCTGGAATAGAGTTGATACCATGATTCCTTTATAAGTAAAGAGGTATTTTTCTATTTAACTCATCTTTCTACAGATTCTCCAGGTCTCTATCTGAATAAAAGAGCTTAAAGTTCCTCTTTTAAAGATCCTCTCTTTGAGCTTCTCTCTAAAAGTTTCTTTCTCTGTCCACAGATTCTCCTGGATTGTCTCTACATAAAGAGCTAAAAGCCCCACTCGAACACAAAACAAGCCACATCACAGTCATGTTCTTGGTAAACTTTGACAAAGATTTGGCGATTGGTGGGCTGCACCTTGATCCTCAAATTTATTATGTTTATTCTTCAGGTATTGTAGATTAATATTTAACGAAGTAGATTATTGATTATTGAATCAAATTATTTATTCATGACATTTAACCTAATAGACCTCTATTACATCTATACTAATAAATAATAATGAGCTTTTCATCTATCCTTCAGATATTATGAATAAATGAATATATAGGCCTACTTCATTTTCAATATTATTAATATAATATTAAATTTCTTACATTTCCTCCTAAGTCATTATTATCAAATTTTAAGTAGAATATTTTTTCCTTTATTATAAGTTTTTTAACACACTATTCCTAAGGAATAAAATGTGAAACTAAATATATACATATTTCAGAATCTTTCAATGAAGCTCTACAGCTAACTCTAAAAAAAACAAGTAACCCTGAGCAACTGCAAGCAAATCAGCAAGATCTCACTGCCTTAATACAGCCTTGTTTAGCATCCAGGGAGGTGGATTCTGAAATTCATGCAAGAGCTCTGTTGAATCAACCTTCATGTAGGTCTATAGAGTGGCATCAAAGTTCAAAATCAGAATTATATTACGATTTATTGTTGGCGGATCATTACCTTTTGGACTTACACTGTGAATATCAATTACACTCAAAGGATGAAATTCTCTGCATCTTAACACTGATCCACAGCTCAGCAGAGGGCGCAAGTGTTGAAATTCAATTCTTGAAAAAGAATGGAAAAATTTCTTAAGTTAAATACAATCTACCGCAAATGAAACCGGAAGGCTTCAAGAAAATAAACTTAAATGTTCAATGCCTAACTTATCAAATTGGACAAAAAGGTATTTTTATTAAATTTTCTATACAACAATTGGTCTCAAACTGTCATTAGGGGTAATCTGTAAACGATGTCATGTTTTTTTTAATATTTATCTCTCTCCCTCACATCAGCAGTCATCGACTAAAAAACCGGACAACCCACCCCTGAAATGACATCACACCTTAGCCTGCCACCACTTTCTTAAATACAGCCTATATATTGACTAGTTGATTCTCCCTTAATTAATTCAGCTGTCTCCCAATCACTATCTTGAACTAATTACATCCCCATTATTTTCTAGCACCATCATTTAAATATTAATTCCAGTATTGCATCCATTTTACTTTTATGTCCTTCTTTTCTTTTACTGCTCAAGATTACATACTTCTGATTGTCAAGAGGGCATAACTCATTAAAAAATTAGAAAAAACTAGAAGGAGTTGCGCTTAATTATTTAAAAACATGTAATAATTGAAACTATAATAACACTTATCTTAGATGTAATGTTTTCAAAATCTAAAAGTCTGTAATTTTTTTTTTCAAATATCAATTAAAATTGATCAGAATCCATATTTGTATCATGTAAAACTTGCTTTATAATTTTTACTTTAAAAGAAACTTAAAAAGTAACATGTACTAGAAAAATGTTTTAGAAAATCAACCAAATATATTTATAACACCCTAATATTTAAAAACTACAAAAATATACTTAACAAGCTTTGGGAAACTGATGCTTTGGTTTTGGATGATAATAATTTGTTCATTATTTTTTACAGAGCCTGCCCCTAGGAACTGGCAGACAGACATCCCAACATCCGCAGGTTCTAGAGAGGTTTTTGTTAAGTTCTACATCCCAATCTTCCAGAGACAGGTTCAGGAACCACAGATGGCCTGTTTTTTTGTTAAAGGTAATTTATCTGTCATAAACTTTTTTGGACAATGTAACCTCCTTACCCTTTAAGTTGTGGCTGGCTGAAAGCCATCTACCTACTCTTGGACATTGGTTTTGGTTAGAATCTACTTACACACCTAATGTACACATATTCTGTGATCAGGCTTTACTATGACTATTATTGTCTTGTACATTGGCTCCTATTTCATCATATTTCATATTTAATTAGAATTTTGCTCGACACTAAGACTGCTCCTATTGTGTTAGACCTCCATCTGTGACCAGATATTCCTCTGTATCTTTTATCAGATTATTGAAAAACACAAAACCATAACCTGCTTACATTTTTAAAAACACTCAACAATGTTTAAATAATACTAATAAAATATTATTTAATTATTTTAAAATTATTATATTTAAAATAAAATAATGTTCCTTAATTATTTCCCTAGAGTTTGTCAAAGAAGAAAAACCAATAGAGAATGGTTATGCACGTGATGACCACATTCAATCCAACCTACCATCAGCTACCATAGAAACTCAGAGTGTTGACACAGAACACCCATCAAGCTCTGTCAAAGAAAACAAACCTCAGGTAGTTTTATCCTGTGGAGACCCCAACAAGCATGTTAATATCCCACCAAGTGTTGATACAGAACGCCCATCAAGCTCTGTCAAAGAAAACAAACCTCAGGTAGTTTTATCCTGTGAGGATACCAACAAGCATGTTAATATCCCACCAAGTGTTGATACAGAACGCCCATCAAGCTCTGTCAAAGAAAACAAACCTCAAGTAGTTTTATCCTGTGGAGACCCCAACAAGCATGTTAATATCCCACCAAGTGTTGATACAGAACGCCCGTCAAGCTCTGTCAAAGAAAACAAACCTCAAGTAGTTTTATCCTGTGGAGACCCCAACAAGCATGTTAATATCCCACCAAGTGTTGATACAGAACGCCCATCAAGCTCTGTCAAAGAAAACAAACCTCAAGTAGTTTTATCCTGTGGAGACCCCAACAAGCATGTTAATATCCCACCAAGTGTTGATACAGAACGCCCATCAAGCTCTGTCAAAGAAAACAAACCTCAGGTAGTTTTATCCTGTGGAGACCCCAACAAGCATGTTAATATCCCACCAAGTGTTGATACAGAACGCCCATCAAGCTCTGTCAAAGAAAACAAACCTCAGGTAGTTTTATCCTGTGGAGACCCCAACAAGCATGTTAATATCCCACCAAGTGTTGATACAGAACGCCCATCAAGCTCTGTCAAAGAAAACAAACCTCAGGTAGTTTTATCCTGTGAGGATACCAACAAGCATGTTAATATCCCACCAAGTGTTGATACAGAACGCCCATCAAGCTCTGTCAAAAAAAACAAACCTCAGGTAGTTTTATCCTGTGGAGACACCAACAAGCATGTTAATATCCCACCAAGTGTTGATACAGAACGCCCGTCAAGCTCTGTCAAAGAAAACAAACCTCAAGTAGTTTTATCCTGTGGAGACCCCAACAAGCATGTTAATATCCCACCAAGTGTTGATACAGAATGCCCATCAAGCTCTGTCAAAGAAAACAAACCTCAAGTAGTTTTATCCTGTGGAGACCCCAACAAGCTTTCCATAGCCTCACCAAGTGCAGGCACGCGTAATTGGTGTCCTGCTGCTAAACATAGACAAGCTATACCAGCCAATAGTAATATACTTTATTATTATGATTTATTGCTGGCCAATCAGTTTGAGTGTAACATTTCATGTCAGTACGACGCCAACTCTAAGAAGGCAATCAAAAATGTGTTAACCCTCATTAGCTCATCCCCTTCTGGAACCACCATTGAAGTAAGGTTTCTCAAACAAGATAACACATTCTCAGTTGTCAATTATGAAATAAAAAAATTAAAGAAGGTTCATTTTGAGGATATAGAAATCAACATGTGTAGACTATTGGAGGATGAGTCACGCTCGGGTAGGTTTATTTTTAGGACATAAAAATTATGATAGTCTTGTAGTTTGGTACCCAATATCATTATGGGTTCCCAGAAAATTGTGCAATTGGAAAACTGAACAAACCAAAAACTGCGGAACAAAAAATTGCGCAAACAGAAAAATGACCAAATACTAAGTAATTATACTAATACAACTAGCCGTCCTGGCCAGGCTCTGCACTGGCCTCCGTGAAAAACCTATCTTTAAAAGACCATGACTTGTGTGTTTAGTAGTCAGCATATATATATGGCATTGTCCGAGTTTAAGAAATATATTACTTTTTTAATTAACCCTAACCACAACCAATCAAAACCAAAACACAAAAAAAACCAACGCAAACATAACACAAATACAAACACAAACAAAAATACAAACACAAACCCAACCACTAACAAAAACACAAACGTAAAGAAAACACAAAAGCAAGCTAAGAACAAACCCAAATAAAAACCCAAACACAAAGAAAACGCAAGCATAAACGTAAAGTGCTCAGTCTAGCGTGGGGTGCCAAATCTTACCATGCTGAGGCGCGGGGGGGGGGGGGGGGGGGGGAACCGCCTGATTCAACTTAGTAAACAACAATATTACCCCAACTTATTCATAGTCTTTTGCACTCACTTAAAGGAACGTAGGCGTCATAGCTAACACGGGAAGGCCTGGGGCGCCAAAAAACACCCTCACGGGGCGCCGGGGGACGCCTGGATTCTATTCTATTAAAGACTATACAAACCTTTCTTATCTTTAGTCTATTGCACTGTTTAAAACGAAATTATGCACCAAGCGCTCACAAGATAGCCCAGGGCACCATATTGAACCCTGCCGGGGTGCCGATGGACGCGCCTGATTCAATTTAGTAAACGACTATAATACACTAAGCTTATCCGCAAACAGAAAGATAGAAGTAAACATAGAGAACATTTAGGAGCTGGCTTCTAAACTCATATTGATTTAAAAAAAACAACAACAGTAAACAGTCTGTAGAGTGTATAAAATAAATAAAAGGCAGTATTTAAAATATCTGTGTTTTACTTACCACCATTCACTTGATCATTCCACGCTAATTATGTAACTATTTTTTCCCAACACCAAAACAAAGTAATGAAAAGTAATTCCTCCCAAACCCCCCCCCCCCCGCCTATCCCCGATGTATTGTTTTTTTAAAAGGGAAGTGATTGTGTTTTCCTAATTTATCAACGGACGTAATGAGGGCTAAAGGACTAAATTAAAATAATTTTCGTACACAATTAGAACTTTTGTGAAGAGTGATACACTTTCTTTAATTTTGTTTAATGCACATGCCGTTAATTAACACTATAAGTTTGGAAAATGAAAATTGTTATATAACACCTTCAATATTATTTTTTTAATCATAATTTAGACGATGAGTACTATAGACATATCACACTATGTTGATCAATTCTATTTTTTTCTCTATTTTTTTGTAATGAAGGGTCCCCTGTCAGCTCTCGGCGGTCACATACAGAATTCAACTTTAAATATTAGATTTAAATTTGTCCTATTTCATTGAAATATGTTGTATTATTCTACACTGTACATGTAGTCATTCTTTATTAATGATTATAAATGCTCGATTTTAAGAAAACAAAAATGCCTTGCCACTTTTTTGTGCACATTCATTCATTACACATCTTTCCAGTCACCATCATAATGTCCATGAGTCGCCACATCTCTAATAGACAGCTTTCTCAGAAGCCGAGAATGTTATATATTTATATATTTGTAAATGCAGCTGGAATAGAGTTGATACCATGATTCCTTTATAAGTAAAGAGGTATTTTTCTATTTAACTCATCTTTCTACAGATTCTCCAGGTCTCTATCTGAATAAAAGAGCTTAAAGTTCCTCTTTTAAAGATCCTCTCTTTGAGCTTCTCTCTAAAAGTTTCTTTCTCTGTCCACAGATTCTCCTGGATTGTCTCTACATAAAGAGCTAAAAGCCCCACTCGAACACAAAACAAGCCACATCACAGTCATGTTCTTGGTAAACTTTGACAAAGATTTGGCGATTGGTGGGCTGCACCTTGATCCTCAAATTTATTATGTTTATTCTTCAGGTATTGTAGATTAATATTTAATGAAGTAGATTATTGATTATTGAATCAAATTATTTATTCATGACATTTAACCTAATAGACCTCTATTACATCTATACTAATAAATAATAATGAGCTTTTCATCTATCCTTCAGATATTATGAATAAATGAATATATAGGCCTACTTCATTTTCAATATTATTAATATAATATTAAATTTCTTACATTTCCTTCTAAGTCATTATTATCAAATTTTAAGTAGAATATTTTTTCCTTTATTATAAGTTTTTTAACACACTATTCCTAAGGAATAAAATGTGAAACTAAATATATATATATTTCAGAATCTCTCAATGAAGCTCTACAGCTAACTCTAAAAAAAACAAGTAACCCTGAGCAACTGCAAGCAAATCAGCAAGATCTCACTGCCTTAATACAGCCTTGTTTAGCATCCAGGGAGGTGGATTTTGAAATTCATACAAGAGCTCTGTTGAATCAACCTTCATGTAGGTCTATAGAGTGGCATCAAAGTTCAAAATCAGAATTATATTACGATTTATTGTTGGCGGATCATTACCTTTTGAACTTACACTGTGAATATCAATTACACTCAAAGGATGAAATTCTCTGCATCTTAACACTGATCCACAGCTCAGCAGAGGGCGCAAGTGTTGAAATTCAATTCTTGAAAAAGAATGGAGAAATTTCTTATGTTAAATACAATCTACCGCAAATGAAACCGGAAGGCTTCAAGAAAATTAACTTAAATGTTCAATGCCTAACTTATCAAATTGGACAAAAAGGTATTTTTATTAAATTTTCTATACAACAATTGGTCTCAAACTGTCATTTGGGGTCATCTGTAAACGATGTCATGTTTTTTTTAATATTTATCTCTCTCCCTCACATCAGCAGTCATCGACTAAAAAACCGGACAACCCACCCCTGAAATGACATCACACCTTAGCCTGCCACCACTTTCTTAAATACAGCCTATATATTGACTAGTTGATTCTCCCTTAATTAATTCAGTTGTCTCCCAATCACTATCTTGAACTAATTACATCCCCATTGTTTTCTAACACCATCATTTAAATATTAATTCCAGTATTGCATCCATTTTACTTTTATGTCCTTCTTTTCTTTTACTGATCAAGATTACATACTTCTGATTGTCAACAGGGCATAACTCATAAAGAAAATAGAAAAAAACTAGAAGGAGTTGCACTTAATTATTTAAACACATGTAATAATTGAAACTATAATAACATTTATCTTAGATGTAATGTTTTCAAAATCGAAAAGTCTGTAATTTTTTTTTTTTCACATATCAATTAAAATTGATCAGAATCCATATTTGTATCATGTAAAACTTGCTTTATAATTTTTACTTTTAAAGAGACTTAAAAAGTAACATGTACTAGAAAAATGTTTTAGAAAATCAACCAAATATATTTATAACACCCTAATATTTAAAAACTACAAAAATATACTTAACAAGCTTTGGGAAACTGATGCTTTGGCTTTGGATGATAATAATTTGTTCATTATTTTTTACAGAGCCTGCCCCTAGGAACTGGCAGACAGACATCCCAACATCCGCAGGTTCCAGAGAGGTTTTTGTTAAGTTCTACATCCCAATCTTCCAGAGACAGGTTCAGGAACCACAGATGGCCTGTTTTTTTGTTAAAGGTAATTTATCTGTCATAAACTTTTTTGGACAATGTAACCTCCTTACCCTTTAAGTTGTGGCTGGCTGAAAGCCATCTACCTACTCTTGGACATTGGTTTTGGTTAGAATCTACTTACACACCTAATGTACACATATTCTGTGATCAGGCTTTACTATGACTATTATTGTCTTGTACATTGGCTCCTTTTTCATCATATTTCATATTTAATTAGAATTTTGCTCAACACTAAGACTGCTCCTATTGTGTTAGACCTCCATCTGTGACCAGATATTCCTCTGTATCTTTTATCAGATTATTGACGAACACAAAACCATAACCTGCTTACATTTTTACAAGCACTCAAGATTGATAAAATAATACTATTAAAATATCATTTAATTATTTAAAAATTATTATATTTAAAATAATATTCTTTAATTATTTCCCTAGATTGGGTTGAAGAAGAAAAACCAATAGAGAATGATTGTGCATGTGATGACCAGATTCAATCTAACCTACCATCAGCCACCATAGAAACTCAGAGTGTTGACACAGAACACCCATCAAGCTCTGTCAAAGAAAACAAACCTCAGGTAGTTTTATCCTGTGGAGACCCCAACAAGCATGTTAATATCCCACCAAGAGTTGATACAGAACGCCCATCAAGCTCTGTCAAAGAAAACAAACCTCAAGTAGTTTTATCCTGTGGAGACCCCAACAAGCATGTTAATATCCCACCAAGTGTTGATACAGAACACCCATCAAGCTCTGTCAAAGAAAACAAACCTCAGGTAGTTTTATCCTGTGGAGACCCCAACAAGCATGTTAATATCCCACCAAGTGTTGATACAGAACGCCCATCAAGCTCTGTCAAAGAAAACAAACCTCAAGTAGTTTTATCCTGTGAGGATCCCAACAAGCATGTTAATATCCCACCAAGTGTTGATACAGAACACCCATCAAGCTCTGTCAAAGGAAACATACCACCTGTAGATTTATCCTGTGGAGACCCCAACAAGTATCCTACTATCCCACCAATTGTTGAAACAGAACACCCTTCAAGTTTTGTCAAAGAAAACATACCTCAAATAGTTTTATTATGTGAAGAGCCCAAACAGCCAGACGTGTGTAGCGCCTTGCCTGAAATTTTGATGAAACTTCTTGGTGAAAAAGCGGCTGAAATCCTAAGCACTTTTTCTCAGCCACCAGGCTGTGTGGAGAGGAACGCTGTGACGTTGAAGGAAATTAGTGTGTAAGTGTTATTTTTTAGGTTTTTAAATATAAATAATTGTTTAAAATTATTTAAGAAATTTAAGGTCAGTAATCATGTTTAATGCATCTTATAAACAGTGGCAGAACTATAAAAAGACCATATATATATATATATATATATATATATATATATATATATATATATATATATATATATATATATATATATATATATATATATATAAAAGCGGCCACGTAGAGTGTTAGTCAGTCCGTAGTGTGTTAGTCAGTCCATCATTCAGTCATTGCTATTGATTTTTACTTTCTCGTATATACGAAGTATAGAGAAAGTATTGTAATCGTGCACAAAAATAACATGAAATTCCGACAGTTTTCACCGTTTTACTCCTCAGTCCTTCATCCCATCCGGAGTATAGAGGACTTATTTTAATCAGGCAAAAATTATAAATACAAATATATAAACATTTTGGCGTTTTATGCGTTATCGAGTCGTAAAAACTGGACTTTGCAATTCTGTCAGTTGTCTGTGTGTCCGTGTGTAAACACGATAACTTGAGTACCTTTACAGCTAGGTTGATGAAATTTCATATATAAGTATTTTATCAAAATCGTAGATCCTGATCAACTTTTGAATGATTTCCGATAACCGGAAATGTTAGTTTTTCTTCTTTCAATTTTTCAAAAGCCTATTACTTGAGTATACGTCGTTTCGTCGGGATGGTACTCTTTGTAGTGCTGGCATATGTCCATGTGTCTAAACTCGTTGTCGCATATGTGACTCATTAAGAGTTCCTGGTGTGCTGAAACCTCGTGTTCTTGCCTATCGTCGACTGATTTATATTTCTGGGTGCAGAATCTGCATCTTTTGCTGTTATATCCCGATTTTTGGGTTTTTAGATTTTTTGTTGACTGCTTCGCGTCTGTAGGGCTATGTTCCTTTTTCCTTAATGAGTGTGTATCGTCGTTCATTTCTGAATCTGGGCTGGGGTTGTTAATTGTAGAGGTTGGCATCGCTGTAAACGTAAAAGTGCTTGGGTTCATCGTGAATGATGAAGCAGAGCTTGGTAAGTAGGCTCTTGGTGTAGTTGTTTTGATGGTTGGTGGTTTCATCACGCTTGTAGGCCTACTGGAGGTTGTTGGCTTACTAGACGATTTGTGGGGGCTGGTTGGTTGACTGTTTAAAAGTAAACCCTATTATTTTAATTTTTTTTTGTTCGCCTCCACAATAATGTAATAACTTAAAATTTTAACATTCTCCATCAAAAAGTTAGAACACTTCAGTTTAAAGTTTTAAAAACTGTATCATTAAAACATATGGCAAGTTTTGGCATTTCTTGAAGGTCATTAACCAAAAGTTATTTTCTGTTAACCTGTCATAAGATTAGATGAGTTTTAATAAGCACTATAGACAAATTGGAGAGAAAATACATTTGAATGGTAAAAAATACAAGTATTTTAGAAAAATCTTTAGATTTTGACATACAGAAAAAATTGCCTTACACACATTGTTATAAGTATAAGCTAATGGACATCAATGTACTACTTTTTAGGGAAACATCACCCACCTCTCAATCAAGTCCAACCACCACTGAGATACAACATATTTCAAAACAAAAACCATTAAAACCTTTCAGCTATTTGATGTCTTTGCCTTTTTGCGTTTTATGGGTGGTGATGTTACTACTGTCTCCTCTTCATAGCTTTCATAATCATCTCCTCTATCATCATCCATGTAACTGGTACTCAAAACTGATTTGCCCCCAGACTGAGATTTTTGTAGAGCTTTGATTTGAGCTTGCAAGTCTTCATTTTGTTGTTTAAGTATAGTTATATGCCTGTCATTCTGTGTAGTTTTGTCTCTCATTCTTATGATGTATTCAGCAGCTTGTCTCAAAATTTGTGCACGTGAAGTCTTTCTAGAGGAGTTAGTCTTATTATCATCTTGAGGTACACAATCTCAAAGGCTGTGGAAACTGTCCTGTATGTGATCTCTTCTTTTCCTTTCTAATGCATTATGGTGTGCTCTTTTGTCATCTGAACTGAAAGTCTGGGGGCTTTCTTCATCATCAACATCACTTTCAATGTGAAAAATCAATGTGTCTTCATCGCTCATACTCATTCTCTATATTTGAGTTAATAAATCCACTAACACTATATTCCTTGATTTTACTTGCACCGTACTGTCTTAATAAATTTAATGATGTTTTTTTTTATATATAACAACTTAAATTTTTTGATACTAGGCAAAATTTTACTCTTTTGCATACGTTAACAATTGAACATAAAGAAAATATTAAATACACGCGCATTGCTAAAACATTTTAAACTGATGAATGTCAAATAATATGTTCGCTCATGTGCGTAGAAAAATTGACTCATTTTAATAACAGTAGGGTCGAATAAACCTATTCCATTAAAATGTTTTATAAAATATTTAATAATCATGCCAGGGGAGGTAATTTTAAAAAGAAATTCAGCAAAATATTTTTGGTTTTATTAGGCTCTACTTACACACTTATTGTACACACTCATATTCTGTGATTAAGTTTTGCTTTTTCCAAAGCCAATTATAAAACTTACTCAGGGGAGATGATTCAAAGTATAGACCTTACACATTTACTATCACATTTCTTGTAAAAGCAAAAACAAGTAAACATATATAGTTCTTTATTCTTTTTAATTTAATGTAGGATACAGAATAGTACAGGATAAATGTTCTACCAATATATTATAATACAAACACATATTTTACATTGAATAAATATACAATAGATTTCCTACTCCTAACCAATGCCACAAAGAAGTACCGTACATCATGAAAGTCCACTACATATCTTGCGGCTTGTCGAACTGTGGTCATTTTTTTCCAAAGAATTTTGCTGGCGACAGCGTGTGTGTTTGATTGTAGGGAAAATAGAACTCGGCCTTGACAATGTTTAAAATAAACCGGGAGTGATCTCCCCTAAACTTTCTCGAATATTCTTATATAACACTACGGGGATGGCAACTCAGGATATAAACAATATTTTTAATCCATTTTTAATTACTTAAACTTTTTATAATAGAATAGAATCTCGTAGAAAAAAAATTGCACACAGGGCCGGAATTACAGTGCTGCCAGACCCCGCATTGTGGGGGGGAGGGCCTGGGCCGATTAGGGGCTCACAGCCGACCATAATCAATTTTTTTATAGTTAAAAATAAATAATTTTCTTGCAATTTTTGAATTGATGGTTGTTTTGTAAAAAGAATACTGTAACTGCGGTTGGATTATCTTTATCCAATAGACACCATTGAGTCCTCTTTCTCCTACAATCAAACACACGCTTTTGTCGGAAAATTCATTTGAAAATAAATCAAAGTCCATCAAAAAAATCAAAGTCCATCGCTCGAGAGGCCACTAGATGTTAAGACGACTTTTGCTTCTTTATAGCACTGATTAGGGAAGTTTTTGAGTACTCATAGACCTAATATCTGTTTCAAATGTGTAGTTTAGGGGCCTGAAAATCCCTTAGTAGCTATCTAAGCACCAGGGGTCTGCTTATAGGGTGTACTGCACAGGGGGATAGGTGTACTACTTGAATCATGTCTCGCTGCATCAGGGGCCTCCGCCGGTGGCCGAGTCCCAAGAGCCCAGTGACGCCTCTGACACTAAGGCCATTACCGAGGGGTGTTTCTTTCACCATCAGCGTAAACCGCGGCGTGTTTGTGGTAGTGTGTACAAACTAGCGCCTCAACAACTAAGCCAAACTATAACGCATAACATAAACGCAAACTTAAATGCAAACATAATCGCATAGTGGCACCTTGATAGTGTTTTTGTAAAAAAAAAACAGATAAAAAACAGATACGCTGTTGCGTAATAGAAAAAAATATACTTGAGTTGTAATGTGAATGATAGGCAAACGTTCAAACCACTTCCATGACATATTTCCCTTTTTAAAATAGTCAAATATGTGTGCTCTTAAGTACTTTTAATAGATTTGCATTAAACACATTAAAAAGAAATTACTTCTCTTAATTATTATTAAAAAAAAATACATAATAAAGAATGACATAGTATAAGAAGGAAATGTATTTAAAACTAATAATATAAATACAAAAAAAACCATTACAGATACAAAGCTTTCATGCTTCATATACTGTTGATCCACTTACTTATAGGCAGCATTATGGCAGACATAAAATAAAACAGAGATTTTCAAAGCAGACTAATGGCACTCGCACAAATGACATGTTGTTTTAACCTGTTTTAATTTTTTTTTAAACTAAGAATTTTTAAGCCTGAAATAAATTTTCTATGTTTGTATTTTCGTGTTCGTATTATATATATATATATATATATATATATATATATATATATATATATATATATATATATATATATATATATATATATACACACACATACATATATATATATATATATATACATATATACATATATATATGGGGCCCTAAAATTTTTCTTTGCGTCGTGGCCCTTTTTTTCTAGTTCCGCCACTAATTGCATACCAAGTGAACAACCAAGTGAACATCAAACAAATTCTGCATAATAGTGAGGGATATTATTAGTACTTTATAAAATCACCTGCGTTTTTTGAGAAATCGGAAATAGCATAAATTACTACTTCCGGTCAACGGAATTTACTTAAAATTTGACAGAAGGCAGACGATTATATCTTTTACTTAAATGTGAAATTCCATTTATCTATCCGAAATAGTACTCAAGTAATAGGCTTTTGAAAAAGTGAAAGTAGAAAAAGTTCCACTTCCGGTTATTGGAGATTGCTGAAAAGTTGATACAGATCTACTAATTTGATATAATACTTTATATGAAATTTCATCAACCTAGCTGTTACGGTATTCAAGTTATCGTGTTTACAGACACACATACATACAGACACACATACATATAGGCACACAGACACATACACACACAGACTTATGGACAAGATTGCAAAATTATGTTTTTCCGAATCAGGGAGGTGTAAAACGTCAATCTCAATTTTTTGTTTGCACGATTACAATACTTTCTCTATACTCTGTATATACAAGAATGTAAAAAATACATTTATAAATAACTTTTTATATATATAAATACATTTGGCAACAATTTCCAGCCCCTTATTTGATCCCCATCCCCTGCTCCATCCTGCCACATTACACTTTAGAGGACACTCGAACAGTTATAAAGCCAATGTTTGAATGTGTTACGTGCCCCCTATTTGGCTATCTAAGGGGAGCAACTAGTCACAAATGTCATTAAAAATGTGAAGTTTTGCCTATATTTTACACTATATTTTGTGTAGTAGATTTGTTTGAGGAAGAGCATGGTATAGTGACTGTAAATTAAAGATAACAGTATCGCAGCTGTAGTATTTTTTCCCAACCAAATATTAAGGCAAAAATGCTCAAAAATTAAATTTAAAAATTACTAGTAATGGTCGGCAGTGGGTCCCAAACGGCTTGCCCCCCCTCCCCCCTGCATTGCGGCATCTGGCGGCATGTTAGTTCTGCCCCTTCTCATAAAATGTATAGGCAGGTAGAGTGAAATTAATCAGTCTGCATTAAAATAATCTATTCCCACTTTTTGTTTAATTTACTTTATTTAAAAAAATCTTTTGAATTGTTTCTTTCACAAATAACTCACAGTTACTCACATTGAATTTTACAATTAGTTTAAAAAGGTCAAAACATAACTCAATTGATTAAAATATGAAATGTTTGCCTTTTGACATCTGTAAAACATTAGTCGGAAGCATTGTTTCTTTTATTAACTGCTTTAGAAACATCATATTTTTTAAATAATTGAAGTTTTTTTGTTTTGTATGCTAATTTAGAAACATCTTTGCCATAAGTAACCTCAGTGTGCACATGGAAAATGTGACCAATGCATTGGTGGGTGAAGGAGCTATCTACAGTAATGGTCAATGAAGGTATGTGTAAACTGCAGTGAAACAAACTGGAATAACAAACACAGAACAAATTAGTGGCCTCACAATGTCAAGACATTTGTAGTATTTAGCAACTCATTCACAATAAAATAAAAATTAAAAGAAAAGAAAAATTACTAAATATATATTCTATGCTATTAGCTGTATTGCAAAATTATCATGTAAATATTTTAAAAAATATATATATTAAAAATAATTAATAACTGCTTCTACTGCGAAGAAATTTTTTTTTTTTTTGCTTGCTCTACATTTTAGGAATAGGATATATAGTATAAACATTTATATTTATTTGAAATTAGGAAACAATAGAAATCTGAGTAAAACATTGTTTAAAATGATTATTGTTTGTATTTATTTGATAGATTTGTCTCTTAGCAAGATATGCACAATAAATGTAAATAGTGACTTCAATTAAATTATTATGCTTTACATTTCTTTTCATCATATTCTCTGTAAAAAGCAAGATTTATGAATGGACAATCTCTTGGTTGAACATTTATAATCATTTGGGTCTGGTTTAACTCATTTTGGTCTGTTTGAAATTACTTTAATTGTTTAAAAATTATTTTTATCTGTTTTAAATTATTTGGTATGTTGGTCTATGTTTTAACTATTGTAATTTGTGACTAAAGCTAGTTAACTATTGATAGCACAAAATTTAATTTGGAAGATATATTGTAGAAGACAGGTGTTTGTTTACAACCAAAACCCAATGTACTGTGTAACTTTACTCTCACAATGGCTGCTGTAGTTGAGACTTCAGTACCAGTAGTAATAAGTCAGGATCTTTTCTATAACTTCTTATCTTGTTTATTTTTGTTATTTACTTTATGAAAATAATACAAAAAGAATTTAAAAAATGGAACTATTTTAAACATTTGCAAGAAAGTTATTTACAATGTTTTTATAGTTCACTATATAATACTTCTTATATTGACGACTAATGAAGTGTGTCTGAAATATAACATGAGAACAGGGAGTTGTTTTTTTTATTATCAATCCCATGTTACAACAATGTTGAGTTTTATGTGAACAATTTACAGTTGTTGATGTCGTAGATTTTTCAGAAAATTTAACAAAAATATAAATGTACTCTAGAGACAAAACAACAGTGGGTAAAGCCTAAATTAACTTAGGTAAATCATTCCAAAATAATCCTTGACAAATATGCAAAAATTTTGATGATTGCTGACCTGAAAACGGTCATTTAATAAAGTTTATCTGATGACACAGCCATAATGATTCCATTTTGATTTTTTAATGACCCGGCCTTTGCATGCAGTTCTGCATTGAAGAAGCACAACATTAATAGTTGATATGATGAGTACTGTGATATCTTTCAACACTGGCTGTTATTTTAAAAAAAAAGTCTATTAAGAAAAGAAGAAAAATATGTTTAAAAACGTGTAATGATTATGAATGTTTGTTTTTCAAGCTAGTATTTGCTTTAGGCTTTTTTTCAGTGATAAATTGGAAAATAATTAGATTGTGTAATTTAAATACATTTGTGCTTTCTAAATAAAAACTCTGTAGATATGCAATTGTCATCAAGTTGATCTATAGACCTTAGTATAGTAAAATTCTTTTTCTGACCTGCCAGTCCACGGGGTAGGTGAAGTAGAGTTCAGCTGTTTCTGGGATCGCAATATATGAGGGGATAGTGTGCCCAGTCGCTGTTACTTTACCTAACGTAAGTCAGGTACCCATCAGAGTTAAGTAGACCTAGGGAGTTGCTACGACTCTAACCAGGAAACCAAACTCTGGACTTTTGGTTTAGCATACAAACGCCGTAAATACAATTGCGTATTCTATATACACATGTGCATTTCAAATACATGCGTGAATTCAATGAGTAATAGTGTGTTCTAAATACACATAAATCTAGAATTAAAAAAAAAAAAATGTATGTTTTAAAATGTTTCTGTAAATATGTATGCTTTTTTTTTCTTTTTAAATGCAACAACGAAATTACTTTAATGTTAGTAAATAAAAACTTGACAAAACTTTGATATGAACATGTCGACTTTGTATACATGTCAGAATGTTATTTTAGAGAAAAATTGTTTCTTACCACCACACTGGGGCTGATAAAGTGGAGTCTACCAGTTCCAATGAGATTGTGTGGTTGACAGGTATTTTTTTTCTTCCCATTTATGACAAGATTCAACAAAACTGTACTGTGGCTATCATAAGATTGTAATATTACACTGAAGACAACTCCGGTGTTTTGTAATATTTTTTTTATTCAATGTTTACACAGCCTAGTTTGTTTTTAAACTTTGTAGTTTTCAAAACACTTAGAAGTTTTTTTTTTTAGTTTCCTTTAATCAAACATGGCCAGACAAAGGAGTGAAATAAGGGACCACAAAAAACAGTTGATTCAACTTTGACCCTTTCATACAGTGCTCCTATATACTATACTATATATATTCTTCATAAACTCAGTAAAACTACTACTGAGATTTTTAACAGCTCTTTAGAGTTATGTCCCATTTTTAATGTACATAGTGTATGTCATTTATGTTTATATTATTAGGATTAAAACATTTCTGTTCTAAAATCCGTCACATATCTGCTCTATGTGTTGTAAATGTCAACCAGGTGTTTAAACACTGTGTTAATGACTATGTGATGGCTAAACAAATTTGTAACTTGAATTCAGATTATTCTTAATATATACAATGCAATACAATATATTGCTGTTACTGTGTTTGTTATGGTATTATTACAACTTAATTTTTCATTAAATATTAGGAGGAGGGGGATGAAAAAAGTTTCACACAAATGGGCAGTGAAAATCATGAATCCGTTGCTGTCACCAAATTTCAAAATTATGAGTAGCTACATCGACAGGGTAGTAGCTAGGCTTACCCCCCCCCCCCCCCCCCCCCCCCATTTCACCAACGAGTTGTCTTGTCAGTTTCTAGTTATTGCACCCTTTGCCTGGGATGTGTTTTTCATCTAGTGTGGGTACATCCTGTGTAAAGTAATATCATTAGGCAGGTGTAGTAGAGTTTCGCTGTTGCTTTGACCACGGTATGCTTGATAGTTGGAAGCAGCAACCTATCCAGGAGAGACAACTCCAAAATCAAACAACTGCTGCCTTGTAGTTTGTTCTTAGTTGGACAAAGGCTATGGAAGCAAATTCGAAAAAGAAAAGCAGACTGAAATAGGAGTCAAAAGCATATATCTGCGAAACAGCCCTGAAACATTTTTACGCAACATTTCTTCATTGACTTTAGTGTAATGAAAGTCACGCTCGATGCAAAGCTGTACTCAGTGGGTCAAACTTTAGGTGGCTGCCCCCCGAAGAAAGTCTACCGCCCCCCGAGCGAGATGGATTTTATATAGTAAACACACACTTTTACTAGTGGCCGCCCCAGAGGCATAGCGAGGGGGGGGGGGGGGGCGGGGGACAAAATGGGTTGGAAAAATAAATTGAAAGGTTGATGGGGGGGGGGGGTGCAAATCGAAATCTCGAGGGGGGGGGGGTGCAAATCGAAAGTTTGAGGGGGGGGGGGGGGTGCAAATCAAAAGTTTGAAGGGGGGGTGTGCAAATCAAAAGTTTGAAGGGGGGGGGTGCCAATCGAAAGTCTGAAGGGGGGGGGGGTGCACATCGAAAGCTGGTCCCCCCCCCCCGATAAATGTTGAACGCCCCCCCCCCTGAAAATTTCAAAAGCCCCTTCCCCGGAGAAAAAAAGTCTGGAAGAAACACTGGCCCCAACCGACGTTAGTTTCCAAGTGTCCCGTCGTATAGGTCTACTACACAAAGACCTGCATAATCTGGAACCGAACTCCAGACGTCTAGGCAGGGGGAGGACATATGTCCCCGGGCGCCGGCCATAGGGGGCGCCAAAACGGGTTGGAAAAATAAATTGAAAGGTTGAGGGGAGGGGTGCAAATCGAAATCTCGAGGGGGGGGGGGTGCAAATCGAAAAGTTTGTCCCCGGGCGCCGGGAAGGGTCGCTACGCCTCTGCGTCTAGGTGAGGTCATCATTTACTCGTTCTAGCCCTTGACCACACATTCCTCCAAAGTCAACAAAATAACACCCAAAAGAATTTTTTTTTAAATTGTGTTTATATAAACAATACATACATACATAGAGTTTTAAAAAAAACAATAACTGGTGAACACCTCCCCACCCCTGATGAGTACAGGTAACATTTGCAAACAAATTAACGTACCATGTGAAAGTTTTACAAAACTTACGACAACGGCAAAAGTTATACTACTAAATTGATGCAATGATAAAGTGTTCAAACATACAATTTTAAAAAGTCTTAATTAGGCTAAAAATGTTGTAACATTAACATAAAAACAGGATTAGTTTTAAAATTTATTTCACGTGACAAAAATCCATAATCGCATACAAAAAATAGCATTAGACAGACACGTATGTAATGACAGTGTGGTCTAAATTTAGCGCTGACAGATTCAAATATTGACACATGACAGCCTTGAGCTTGACTTAGAAGTGTGTAAATATGCAAAGCTAACGTGTAGGCTGATTTGGTATAACAGATTAAAACTACACGGGCTTTCATATTATGTTAAACACGCTATGGGGTAACTCACTGAGCACACATTCAGCCCTAAGTGTGGGGTCTTGGTCAACATTTAGATTCATAATTGCGATTTCATTCAATATTGAATTTCAAATAGCGCAACACCAGAGATGAAAATAGAAAATTCGGTGACTGCTCATAGCTGTTTGGGCTTAAGGGCGCATGCGTGGTTACGCCTCTGGTAGTTATAAGTAGTAGATTAACGAATCCATCTTGTTTCACTGTGTGAAATTTTTAAATATATACCTTTTTTGTTATAAGGCATAGTCTTAGTGGTGTAGCGATAGGAGGGTGGATGGGGCGGCTGCCCGGGCGCCGAACATTAAGGGTGCCAAAAAGGGGTAGGAAAACAATTAAAAAGCTAATTTTAAGTTAAAATATTGAATTATACACGGTCAAAGTATGGAAAATAAACGGATACACGACTTTGCACACTGATTTAATTTTTTTTGTCTACATAAATTCTGTGACACCAACAAAATGTTTGTTAAGGGAAAGTGACTAGTAAAAAATGTCCACCAACCTTTCCAACTATATTATAGTCTATATGAAAGGGGGGAAGGCGTAAAATTGATAGTCCGGCCCGGGTT